AAACACGGGTGGGTGGCGTGCCTTTTTATTGAGTGCGGTGCGGGGAGGATAGGAAGTTGCCACGACCATGATGGCATCACTCACATAGCGCTTACTCTACGGTTGAGCAGAACCCTGCCCGAGTCTGCACCGGGAATGCCTAACCACGAATGAAAAATCCAAAAGCCAAAGAAGAAAAAGCCTAAAAGGAAATGTAAATACCGAAAGAGAGAAAAAAATCGAAAGGAAGACGCATGCACCAGCCAGGAATCGAACCCGTCTCCACCTAGAGCATGTAGACTACATAGTCATGGTAGGGCGGCGTGTCCCAGACACCACCGGTGCGCATTTCTATTTGCTCCGCCTTCAACTGTGTTTGTGCACAAAGGTAATGCCTAAGGATGCTTGGATTTGACCAGCTTGTGTTCGATGAGGCATTGATCTCGTCCTTGAATCTGGCTAGATCATAGACCCCTGGATCTGCCTAGTCTAAGCAACACCGCCGAAACACGTCCAAAAAAAATGACCCTTTTGCTGAGCTATGCACCAGCCGGGAGTCGAACCCGTCTCCACCGGATTGACGAAAACACTCGAAGACTGTAGGGCAGTGTGTCCCAGACACCACTGGTGCATTGGTACCTCTGTCTCAACCATGTTTATTCCACCCAGTAAATGTAATGCCGAATCTATTTATTCAGCTCAAAGCCAGGTATTGATTTGTTTTTATCCAACAATCAGCCACCGGTGCGGAATTCTTACTTGGAAGCCTCAAGACAATTATTAGGCTCGAGTCCAACCACCCCAAACCTTCCTTTCAAAAGGACCAGGAGAAAACTAGAAAAAAAGGTTGAACATGAATTCTTCATGCACCCGTCGGAAATCGAACCCGACTCAGGCTCCACCTGAGATACAGAGGATGCTGCTGTACTGTAGAGCTGTCCCGGACACCACCAGTGCATATTTCTCTGTGCTTGAATTGTGTGGGTCCATCTATCAATTGGAAGATAGAGGATGCTTGGATTTGACCAAGTACTGTTGTTTGTGTTCGATGAGGGATTGATTTCTGTCCATCTGATCTCAATGGACGCTTGAATCCACCCAATAATCCCTCAAACACCGCGGAAACATGGCCAAAAAAAAAAGATTCATCTCAGCTTCGCAATGCACCAGCCGGGAATCGAACCCATCCCCGCCAGAGTTCAAAAGACTAACAAGCTACTATAATGCGGCGTGTCCCAGACACCACCGGTGCTTTAGTTCCTGGACTGCAACGTTAACGCTGCCTATCTGCCTATCTGCATTGATATTTCTAGGATCTACTACGGCTCAGTTTCTCTGTCTCTAGTCTGCTGCTTGAATCCCTGTGAATCTGAACGTCGATGATTTCATTCAGCACCCTACAAAACCCGGTTCTTCCAAAAAATCAAAGCCGCTGATAGAATATGCACCAGCCCGGAGTCGAACCCGTCTCCACCTAAAATGCTGGAAATGCATGGGACAGTAAGGAGGTGTGTCCCAACACCACCGGTGCATTCAACCTCAGTTTTGCCCGTGTCTATCCTACCAGGTAAGTAAGGGATAGTCGAATGTATGGGACCTTGCTTTTACTGCGTTTAAGGATTCCTTTCTCCTGTATCTACAGGCTGCCTCTGTTATAACCAGAGCATGCATATGAGCGTAAATTCCAGATGGGAGTGAATCAGAGGCCGCTCCCAAAAGAACAAAAAACAACTGATTCATTTCAGGGGAGAAAAAGGGAGACAAATTCGCGTTACCTACTAGGCACCGACCGGGAATCGAACCCGTCTCCACCATGTGCATAAACCTCTATGCGGGAAGTGGAAAATTGTAGGGCAATGTGGCTCGGACACCACTGGTGCGTTAATTACTGGACTGCAACCCTGCCTATCTACAAGTAAGGGACGTGGAATCTATTGGATCAAATTGGTTGCTTCTGATGTGGTACTGAGCTCCAGTCTGCGTGCGCCACTCTTGGGCTCTGAATGTTCATACTGCCAAAAAGCCAGAGAAAGAAATGCATACATAGCAAGGCGTACATGAGGTTTTCTTGCTTTTCTTGACATTTTTAGGTGGCTCGAGGCAAATACACTTACAGAATTAAGTATGGGCAGGTAAATCAGATCCTATTGAAGCGCTGATGACCGCCGGTGGCTCAATCGTCCTTCTCAGCCCACGACAGGTCTGAAAAAGACACCAACGTCACGAAGGCGCAGTTCGCTCTCCAGCTTATTAAACGGGGCAATTTGGCGGAGATAGGTTCGACTCCCGGCCGGTGGTTGAATCGTCAAATACCTCTTTGAAGGAATTTGAGAAATTCAAGTCAGTATCGCCACTCAAAGGATTACATCGCTCATCGAAATCGATATATTCGGTACTTGGATAACTGAGGGTTGGAGCTCAGGAAACGACACACCAGTAGTGGGCCACACCACCAACTTATCGGCCGAGGAAGAGTGTTATAATGCGCTGACTAGAATCCAAGCATCCCAGTCGAGTAGCTGAGGTCATAGCTCAGAGAAATATGTACTGGTAGTGTCCGGGACAATTTGACACGCTCTGTGCCTCGATAGCAAATCGTTGGCGGAAACGGGTTCGACTCCAGGCTAGTGCTTGGTTTCCACCGCGTCACCATCATTTTTGAGAGGAATTGGAAAGGAGAGCAGAGGGGTGGAGGTGGAGAGAGAGGAAAGAGAAACTGACGGAGGGAGGGGAAGGGGCGAAGAGATGCGAGAAGGGAGTACACACGGGGACGGCACATCTCACGCGGCGTGCGACCTGGACTCGCTGGCAAGTGGAATGCCGGTTCGCCGGTGCTTGCATAGCCAAGCGGAGGCGAGAAGAACGAGAATGAGCCACTGGGAACGAAGGGAAAAAGAAGGGAGGAACGAGAATGCACAACACACAAGAGAACACAAACACACCTTGACAGTGAACAGCCCGAGTAGCATGACCCGAGCAACACGACGAGCTGGAACCCAAACGGGATCTGTCACACGCACACGGCCTTGGAGCCCGCAAGCTTCGTGTTGAGGTATGCGCGAATGGAATAAGATCAGCGAGAGTCGGCGGATGGAAGGACGAGGAAGAGGACGGAAGAGTGAAGGAGTGAAGAAAAGACGAAGAACCAAGGGACGCGCGCACAATTAATAAAATAACCAATCATCACCGCACCACGACCGTAATCCGGAACACCTCCTTGGGACTGCGCCCCGACAAGAACGCAGGCGCGACGGAGCTAATGGTGGCGGTGGTGAGTGCGGCGCCGAGGGCGAATATGAGCGTGAAGAGGCACTGGAGAGTGGGTTTGCACACGATGATCGATAATGGCGGAGATGGACGCAGCCGAAGAACGCGCCAGCTTGGAGGAGATGGCGTTGGTCTTGGATGTGATGGGGTAGCCACTCGCGTCGAGCAGGCCAAAGTGCGAGCGGAAGAACGGTTGCGAGACTACGCCGCCTGCGATTCCGCTTTTGTCTGGTTAGTCCGAATTGGTAACACACGTATCGTATCACTCCCTGTGCTATGTTACTTGCATACAGAAGAGAGAAGAGAAGGACGGACCCGGTAGATGACGAACGCGAGCCAGTACACGCGGATGTGTCGTCAGCTTTGCCGGGTTCCATCTTGTCTTCGTGCTCTTGTCTGGATTTCAAGATCTACCTCCGCCTTCGTGTTCGGAAGGGGGAAACTCGGTCGCCTGGCTTCATATCCCCGAGTCCCTTATCCCATCATCCAAGCACCGCTCCTAATATTTGATCAAATGTGGGGTACCCTGGACCGCGTGTGCCGGCGGGGTGGTGAATTGGATTTCTCTTGGTGACGAGACGAAAGGGCGGGAGGCTGGGACGGCGGTCCGTGGTGCCATTCAAATTGAGAGTGCGAGCGGATGAGAGGAGAGGGAAGTATGACAATGATGGCATCACTCACACAGCGCTTATTCTCACGGGTCGACGGTTGAGCAGAACCCTGTCCGAGTCTGCACCCGGCATGCGTAACCACGAATGAAAGAGCCAAAAGCCAAAGAAGAAAAAGAAGGAAAAAAAAGCAAAAAAAAAAAAAAAAAACGAAGCATGCACCAGCCGGGAATCGAACCCGTCTCCACCTGAGTTGATGTATTTGATGATAACTGTAAGGCAGTGTGTCCCAAACACCACCGGTGCTTAGCAGCTGCTACCTCAGCTTCAAGCGTGGCTATCTACATTAATATTTCTGGGATCTACGGTTCGGTTCAAGGTGCTTGTAATGATCTCTGCCTTGGTCTCTAGTCTGCGCGGCTCGTGGGCTTGAATCCCGCCGAGTGACCTCGATTATTTCACTCAGCACCCTGCAAAACCCGGTTCTTTCAAAAAAAAAAAATATTCAAACATACCGAAATCGTATGCACCAGGCGGCAATCGAACCCATGCCCACCAGAATCCAGAAGACTACAGGATACTATAAGGCGGCGTGTCCCAGACACCACCAGTGCGCTCCTCTCTCTGCTTCAACCTCAACCATGTTTATTCATCTATCAAATGAAGGTAAAGGATACTTGGATTTGACCAACTTGCTGCTTGCTTGTGTTCGATGAGGCATTGATTTCTGTCCACCTCGTCTGTCTGCTCGACAGACGCTTGAATCCGCCCTATAATCCCTCGAATACCGCGGAAACATGGCCAAAAAAAAAAAAAAAAAAATCTCAACTCCCCAATGCACCAGCCGGGAATCGAACCCATCCCCACCAGAATTCAGAAGACTACAGGATAGTGTAAGGCAGCGTGTCCCAGACACCACCGATGCGTATTCTCTTGTTTCACCTTCAACTGTGCTTCTGCACAGAGACTATGGTAATGCCTTAGGATGCTTGGATTTGACCAAGTTGCTGCTTGCTTGTGTCCGATGAGGCATTGATTTCTGTCCATCTCGTCTGTCTGCTCGATAGACACTTGAATCCACCCTATAATCCCTCAAATACCGCGGAAACATGGCCAAAAAAAAAAGAAATCATCTCAGCTTCCCAATGCACCAGCCGGGAATCGAACCCGTCTCCACCGGAGTTACGAAAAGACAGGATTACTGTAGGGCAGTGTGTCCCAGACACCACCGGTGCATTCCATGCTCTACCCTCCACCGTGACTATCCACATCCGTGAGATTTACGTCCAAATATTCTTCAACCGTGCGTATCCTACCAAGTACGGGATACTAGAATCTATCAGATCGAGTTACATCTGCGTTTGAATACGATCTAATTAAATTCGCCCACGGAAACACAAGATCCTGTAAGTGCATGCTCGGCAGGCCAAAAGCGTGGCAAAAGCGTGGCAAAAAAAAAACGAAAACAATTGAACAGACCGATTATTTATGCACCAGCCGGGAGTCGAGCCCGTCTCCATCGGACAGACATGCTACCGAACCGGTGCGTTCCTCTCCTTGTTTTAACCACCTCACTCTGGAGAGGCAAGGAGTCCTGCGCTTCAGTTGCATGCTCAAAGCCTCGTCTCTGCTTCTGCCTTCATGACCTCCGAGTCTATTTTCTTTTCAGTTGCATTCTGTTATTCCATCTCGTCTGTCTGCCTAATGGACCCTTGAAGTTAGAATCCGCTTAGTCTGAGCAACACCGCGGAACGCCCAAAATAAAAATAAAAATAATCTGCACATTCATGCACCGGTCCGGAGTCGAACCCGTTTCCACCTGAAAGCTTTCTTGATCACCTTGGGACACTAAGGCAGCGTGTCCCAAACACCATCGGTGCGTTCCTCTCTCTCCGTGTTCCTTCCTTAACCTCATCTCTCTCGGCAGGCAAGGGATGAGCCTCAGCTGATTGCTCGAAACGTGGCATGGATTTTATTTCATTCTCGGCCCAGGCTGCCTCTGAATCTGTTTTCGTTAGTGGTTCACTAACAGATGTTTGGCTCAGCACACAACCAGATTGGCTGAACTTTGTCTCGCGATGGATCTCCTTCCATTTAAAAAAGAAATGGTTAGGCCCAATGGCTATGCACCAGTCGGGAGTCGAACCCGTCACCACCACAAACTGCTGGCAATCCTGAATTGTAAGTCAGTGTGTCCCAGACACCACCGGTGCATTGCTCTCTCTCTCTGTTCCTTGCTTTAACACATCTCTCTCTCGACAGGCGATGGTCCAACTGGTTCAAGTTCAACTCCCATTGATTTATTTTTATTGATTGCGGTAAATAATTATTTCTTCTCCCTATGGGCTGCCTCTGTTATAACCGTGAGCGTAGATTCAAGGCTGGAAAGAGAAACCGCTCCCATACTGAATCAATCTTTCCGTTTATAACGAAAAGAAGCAACTAACAGATTTTCCGCCACATGGTTCGTTCCCGTTGTGGAAGGGGAGGATGGACCGCTCGTCGCATTCACCCCTATACGTACCTCTAGTCGTTAGGCTACAGTACATCGATGATCAGTCGGTATATTTGGGTTGTAGGTAAACAGGTACAATTATTACCTCCTTACACCCGAACCACCACCATCGACGCAGTCAGTGACTTGAGTACTCCAACGTACGCCGCCAGTGAACATCGAGCATCTTTACATATCCACCCTCTCCGAGCATTTACGAGCCCCAACTGTACTTCACGCCCACACGGCACCATCTCCAATTCCCACCCGATTTCTTCTCTACGCTTCGACGTCATCCCGGGATCTCATCATCCGCTTTCTACTTCACACGTGCACCCCATATCCCGGACTTCCGACCCATATTTGTGTCTACCAGCCAAGAACTTGCTACTGCGACACCGTCTCTGCTATCTTAAGGCTTATTGCGGCATTTCTTTTTAACCCTCGTTCTGGGTGCAACTGGTGTGCTGTCGACCTTGACCGTGAGCGCGCCCAGCTCACCTCAATCTGGTGCAACGACGACGATCACATGGATAAGTAGACCCGTATGGAAACGATTAAAATAATCTGACGGACGACATCGATAGAATGTCCTCCATCGAGTTGACCGATTCTTTGTGCGCCGTTATATGGCTTGTTTCGGCTGTGATTTATGCTCGTGCTCGCCCAGAATCAAGCTATTGCCATCGCAAATAATGTGGACCCAACATTGAACCAAATTACTGTCGAGGACACACTCGTTCTTCGAATACTCACAAGAGTTCGTTCTTAATGCAGACATGGATGATCGGTTCATACGTTTTTCATCCCTTCCTGCGTTTGGATTTCAGCTTCCAATATTGCTAAGGGTAAGCGTTATGTTTGAATAGATATTTAGATGCGGCACCGTTGTGTGACTCCCGCGTTGGATTCTCATGCAAAATTGCCGCGATGTAAATACCCTGGATGTTGGAGCCGTAGTCCGAGTTCCTGGTGGAATTACCCCGGCCTATTTGATTTCGGCTCCTTGTGCTATGATTCCGATTTGGCACAAAGCCATTTGAGAATCAGGGGCCGTCAGCTCCGAGTCGTATGCTGAGTCCTCCGCGATGAAACCTCCCATTCAGTGCGCTTAATGTATCTTTCTCTTGTGAGACACAGATCTACGGATGGTTTTACACGGGCAAAATGATCCATTTGTTCGCACTCATCTCGTCGCATCCTTAGCCTAGGTACGCGGGAGGAGAGCCAGTCAGCCCCGGCCCCACTGCAAATGCTGATCCTGATAATCCGTCTTGACTCCCGCGGCTGCGTTCATCAGCCGGGAGAGTCAAACACACCGCTGAGTAACTGCACGTCCCCGCCCAGTGAGCGTGGATGCGAGTACGACACTTCACATCAAACCTCCATGCCACACACGTCTCTTCCATCCAAACAATCTGAGTCAACCTATTTGTGGGAATATAATTAACGCAATTCAAAACGTACCTCAGACCCTTTCTTAAACCACACCTTTGCCGTTGTATTGGGAATATACGCGACGCCTATGGGACGCCGGTCTTGTGCGAAACACGAAGCCCAACTTCGCATCGTAGTTGGCGACCACATGTGCAAGAATCATCTTAAGTTCCGTTGCTGCAAAAAATATGCGAGTGTTCAAAATGTATGAATACTCGCCGAATCTTAAGTTCAAGTTCAACGATAGTCAACGCACCATCCAGGACATATATGCTTGTTGCCGTCGCAGAAGCGGAAGCCGGCGGGATTGTGGCATGACGACTAGGTTATTGTTGCATAGTTTGCGTCCATGTTTTACCTGCTAGTAGGACGGGTGGAATATACTCACGAATGCCAATCCTGTTTATGCGCTGAGGCTCGTCCAGGAAGCCATCGATTTGTGCATTTTCCCGAGCGCACCTCTGGTCCATCCCTGTTCCGCGACGACGCGGTCCACCTCCTTGCAGAGATGGACAACGTATTCGTGTACGCGGCAAGATCGAACAACGCGTGGGTGAACGTCAGGGGCAGCTGTAGATCTCTAATGGGGAGGAAGGAGAGATGCACCATGGACGAGGTATGCATGGGGCCGAAATTGATACTGGAGGTGGCCACAAACAGGGAAGCCAGATCCTTCTGTCATCGAATGGTCCTCAATCCTCCCTCCCAAAAATCTAGGTCATGTCAACATGCCTAGATGCCGGTAGACCGAATTGACTCCCGAAATGCCCCCAAGACCCATTTCACTGAGTATAGGATATTTTTGTTGGACTTGAGTGACTGTGTACAGCTGTGCGAGCTGTTCAAGCTGTTGCGAGCTGTTACGAGCTCGACATGCTCGGGCGCTGATTTGTTGTTGAGTTACTCGCTCGGAGTACTTCTATGATACGATACAGCTTTATTCTGGGTTACGTACTGGTATACACACAGCCTAGATAAAGTAGTGTACTTACAACCATGTATGCTACCGGATTCCCCTTTGCTTGTCTCCTTTTCTCGTCGTGACGTTCCCTTCTGAGGCTTATTTCCACAATTTTTGCAACTTTGTCTCTATCACTAATAGCGGCTGAATTAGGCCGAATTATCTAGCTAATTTCCAAGGCAATCTGTGCAGAACCCACCGAGATATGGGCAAATCGGTCGCGGACGTCAGAAAACACCCACTGGCAAAACGGCAGTTTTCTGATTCGCGCCTTCGGTACTGACATCGGCTGTAATGTGAATTGCAATCCTCAGACACAAAGATGGTGTAGTCCCGATATTCCAACCCAGGAACACATTCCCTAGAATGAATTTTAGTGATAGAAAATGTCGAACTTCTTCCGTATCGTCGTGTATACTTAAATCTATTCTTCGGAAAATATGTGCTATTCATTGAATTCAACCTTCCAAAAAATCACAGAGACAACTCATGGTGCTTATAGTTCCTCATCAACTCCCTCGCGTATTGCCTCCCTGCACTTTATCCAATCGGTGCCATGGACGAATTGACTGAGATCCAACTTCGTCGTCCCTCGAGAATGGATGACAAGGGAATTCCATGGTAGATACAGACCATCACGAAGCCATGGTGGAACCCAAAGGATACGTTCGGAGAATGAGTTCATCAACCATCCGTCGTCGAAGCGGGGATGCTCTCCCCAGCCATCCAACGGTTCAATCTAATCGAAATAAGCAAGCGTACGTGGAGGGTGTAAATATGTAAAACGTACCTCCCACACGCGGATGGTTTTGTCGCGTGATCCCGAGGCAACTCTCTTGCCATCAGGCGCGAAGGCGACAGATTCCACAGTACTAGTATGCCCTTTAAAAGGTCCTGCAACCGTTGCACCGGTGTGGGTATCCCAGACTCGCAACGTCGAGTCTGAAGACCCCGACACAATCCTTGTACCGTTGGGCGAGAAGGCAAGACAACAAACATAATATGCGTGTCCGTGGAAGGACTCAGCATCCGCTGCGCCCTTTGCGGAATCCCACATCTGCACTGTAAAAGTGGTGTCAGTGGCAGTCGATGCGAGATATTTCCATCGGGAGAGAACACCAGATATCTGCCATCGAACGTTGTCGACTTCTTCGCACCATGAGAGCTCTCCAATGACTCAAAAGCAAGGCACCAGTCTTGAAGTCCCATACTCGGATTGTCCCATCCGTACATTGCGATGCAATCTGTCCACCATCTGGTGAGAATGCAATACATGCGACTGCGTCGGTGTTCCCATCAAAAGACGATGAAATCACATCATCGCCGTTAGAATTCAGTATTCG